TGTTCTGTGAAGTTTGGATTCAGTCAAAGGACCACACTTGAGGACCTAGAGGGCCACATGTGGCCTTGAAGCCAAGTTTCCCCACCCCTGTTCTAAGTTATCTTGGGCTGGAAAATTGTTTCACTCTGTCTTTTTGTGGATTCTGTCTCTTTGGAATTCTTTTAGAGGCTTTTTTTCTGTGGGAAACGGGGGAGAGCGTAGGCAACTTCCTGGCTTCTCTCCACCAGCTTGGCTCCACCTATTGTAAACTTGTTTAGAGGACTGTTTAGTTCTTATCTATCCTCGTATCCTTAGGTCCCAGCACAGTTTATTGCACAGAGAGTCACTTAATATTTACTGAGTCATTTTACTTTCCCATTACTGTAAGTACATGCACTATTCACCCAGTCACTCCTGTTCCAAGTCTTATTCCTTAACCCTCATGTCCCATGTCCAATGGGTTAAAAGGTGCCTCTAGAGCAGGGGTTCCTAGCCCTTAGGTATTCTGGTGCCCTTGCTCAGAATACTGTCTTAAAATATATAAGATTGCAAAGGAAACCAATTATACTGAAATACAATTGTCAACATATTAATGAAACAAGTTCCCAGACCCTAAGTTAAGACCTCCTGATTTGCAGTATCTTTTGTGAGCTGTGTGCTGTGTGTAGTAGAGAGAGCACTGGGCTTAGAGTCAGGTGGGACTTTCCCATCTCCCACACTTATTAGCTGTATGCTCATGGGCAGGGAGAAAAAGAAAGAAAGGGGGAGAAAGGAAGGAGGAGGGAGAGACAGGGATAGAGGGGGAGAGAGAGAAAGAGGGAGAAAGAGAGGGAGGAGGTAGAGGGAGGGAAGGAGAGAGGAGGGGGAGGGAAAGAACCAGTCTTAGAGTCAGGAAGACCTGAGCCCAGTTTCCATCTGGGTCTGTGTGACTATGGACAAGTCACTTAACCTCTCAGTGGCCCTGGCAACGCAATGCAGGTACCAATCTGCTACGAGAGAATGAATTTCTTCACTAGGAGCTCCATACATGAGTAAAATTATGGGTGTGTAAACAATGGGGATAGTAATGCCCCATCACCTTACTCATGGGGTGTGTGGATTAAAGGACTTTGAATCACCATGTAAATGTTAGCCATTGTTATTGTTCTCCCTAGCATCCATGCTTTCTTTTCAATTGCCAAGGCCACAACTGTAGTAGAAGCCCATATTACAACCCATTGGACACTAGCAATGCTTTTCTAATTCATCTTCCTGTCTGTCTTCCTTCTGTAGAATAAATCCTTCAAATTGCTGTCAGATTAATTTCCTTATTCACAAATTTGATTGTAACTCCTCCATTCAAAACCCTTTAATGGCTCCTTCTTCCTCCCACTTTGCCTCAAGTTCATACACAGAGACTCCTTCCTCTGATATTTAAGTCTAGCACTAACTGAACTTTATAAACTTTATTTCACACCATCCCCATTCGTGCATTTTACAGTTTAAACAAAAGGGACTAATTACCACAGGAGGCTCTATGGTGTAGTGGAAAGAGGACAGGGTTTGGGATTAGAGGACCTGAGGTTTAACCCAGAGTCTATTACTTACTACCTATCTGACTTTGGGAAAGGTACCTAACCTCTCTGGGTCTCAGTTTCCTCATCTATAAAATGAGTGTTGAACAAGGTGCTCTCTAATGTCCCTTCCAGCCCTATACTTGTTCATGTTATTCTCTGTGTCTTGAGATGCCTTTCCTCCCAACCTTACCTGTTAAAATCTTTACTATCTTTTAAGACCCAGTTCAAATGCCACTTATTCGATGATGCCTTACCTGATTCCCCCAGCCAGAAATGGTATTTTCCAGCTCAGGCTTCACCTAACACTTTTTATTTCTTGTATGTACATATCATGTTCTATTTTTTGTTGTAGTTATTTGGATGTATATGTATATATAAGCATATATAAACATATGTTTATATATAAATATATATATATATATGTATCTTGTCCCTCTGGTAGATAAACTTCTTTGAAGACAGGGATTCCAATAACCTCAAATTCAACAAATGTTTCTTAAGTATGCATTTTATGTAGAGTGCTCTTGTAGATATAGAGGAAAGCAGAAAGATTAAATAAGAGTCCTCATGGTGCTCACAATCTAGTGGACAAGGCCTTATATATGTTTGTATTTCTACTGATGCTTAAAATACTGTTCTACACACAGCAAGTGACTGATACATATGTGTTAAACTGACTTGAAAGCACTGAGAAAAAATAATTGGATGGGTAACTGATATATTTACTTGCCAAGAGATCACAGTTATTTTTCAATCACCTTGTACATAATGTCTATTTACACTGAACACAAAGTATATGTTCCAAATGTTGTTTGTTCTTTTGAGGATAAATGTCAAGTGCTTTTTGAAGATAAAGTGCCTTCTTGATTTACTTTCTGCCCTTCTTACTCAATGAATTGAATAGATTTCACCCTCTCTGCAAAGATCATAATTCATTTCTTTTCCCCCGCCACTTCCTTTATCATATAGTACTACCTCCTCCAGATTCTGAGAATCCCGAAACCTATATTAAGTATGAGGTACTTTATGGGTTTGCACCTTCTCAAAACCATGGCTCATGAGCCCCCACCCATGTTTACTTTTTGAAAGCTATGCAGATAGGACATATTTGTTCAAAACAAAATACATTTAGTCAACCAGTGTAAAAAATTAAGTAACAAGAAAAGATGCCCTCAAACCCTTACACTGACATGAAAAGAAGCCCTAAAACCCACAGGGATATACTTTTCCATAGCTTATCATATCATCAGTGGGGCATGCATATAGCAAAGAACATAGATATAGACATAGATATATAGATATAGGAAGGAAGGAAGATCTCTCTCTCCCTCTCTCTCTCTCTCTCTCTCTCTCTCTCTCTCTCTTTCTCTCTCTCTTTCTCTCTCTTTCTCTCTTACTGCTCTTTACAGGGCATTGTGCCTCTCTGCTGATGGCTGGATGTTATCCTATCCCTGCTGGTTCCTTGTTGCTAAGCTGCATTCTTATTACTGTCTATTAGTCTTCAGTTATTCTACATTTTCAGGTCATTTGCTGTTTTCTGCTACCTTATGCTGGGATTAAGCTCCTTTAGTCTGACGTGTTCTGGGGAAGAGACTATTACAGCTGTACGTAGCCAGGCAGCCAGCAAAAAACATCAGAAGCTTTCTAGGTTGGATTATGTCTATTTTGTTTTTTGATTTTTGAATGACTGACTCACTATTTTGTTGTTACTCAAATTGCCAGGTCCAGCCACATATTGACTTGGGTTTAAGAAAATGCTTTTTAACTCACGTCAGATCCATGATTATCAGTAAAATTGGAAAGGAGCTGTGTGGGTGTGATGATGCTTCCCTTAGCCTCCCACCTTTCTCCTTTGTTTGCCAAACAAAACATTCTGGGGGCAAGAACAAAAGAGATGGTAGAAGTCTCAGGGCTATTGTCTACCTTAGTTCTTTTGTTCTTAATTATTATTTTTATTATGCATTCCTTTATTATCCTTTATTATGCATTCCTATCAATAACAGAATCACTGATCTTTATTGACCATTCCTGCTAGGAGCAAACCTTTGCTGGTCTACCTAAGCACACTGTTTGTTTATATGGCTTTGGAGCCGTAGCACCTGGGTCAAGGCTCTACCAACTTAGAACCTGTGATATTAGATAAGTCATTGGTACTCTTTGGGCCTCGGTTTCTTCATCTACAAGATGAGGGGTTTGGACTAGAACACCTCTGAGGTCCTTCTAGTTCCAAATCTGGGATCCTATGATCTAGAATAGCTAGCTAGGAGTCCAGTGAGCATGCTCAGCCACAAAGGACATTGAGCTCTTGTAAGGTTAATAACTATCAATACAGAAGCAAATAATGTTTCAGCCATCTGCCTATCCGGAGACTGTGTGCTGATGGGAGAGCAGTAGATACCTACACACGCAGTTCAATGTTTTTTATATGGTAAGCACTTAGGGCATAGGGAAATCCTAGGGAGGAAACGGTTTCTGCCAATGTAGGTTGGCATTTACTCTTCAACTTAAGAGTTTTAGAGAGATGCAGTCATCATTAGTATGACCTCCCCAGGGTCACAAAGCCCATATGTACCAAGGGAAGGCCTGGAACTTGGGTCTTTTTGACACTGAGGCAAACTCTCTGATTCACTGTGCTATGCTACCTCTACTAAATGAGGTAGTGAGCTTGAGTAAATCCAAGTAACTAAATGTTGCTCGAATAAATTAGTAGTTATTCTGCTAGTAAATCATATCACTTCAGTGATGAAACTACTGTTTTGGTATTTTGATGCTAAACGTGATCTTGTGGGCAGAGATATCAAGGTCAGGATAGCATCTGCTACATTGGTCCTTAAAAATTGGAGGAGTGCTAGAAGGTAGCCCGAGAATCTGCTAGCCCTAAGATGCTTTCATTGAACAAATTTATTCTAATTACGTAACTGTCAGGTTAAAATAGTTTGAGACTGAGGAAATTTTGTTTAAAGTGTAGAGCCAATAAGACATAAGAAATTATAGCTGACTCTTCATAAATGCTAGTTTCACCTAGAAAAGAAAAAAATACCCTTTGTTTCACAGTGAACTGATGGAGTGAATTAGCTGTCCAAAGTGAGATGAATATCCCGTTTACTACTAGAAGAATAACAATCCAAAGCCCACGTCCTACTGATAACAGCTTAGTAGGTCACCTGCCTATACTAAAGATATTGTCTTGTCTGAATAGATTAGAATTTTATGAAAACAGATTAATATTGATATTAATATCTGCTATAGTAATATCTTCAGCCTCCATAGTTTGGTTATATTTCTAAAATAGTTATGACAACAGAGTTAATATTAGTATATGGTTACATTATCATTATGGATTAATTTTTAAGGTGAATAAACAAAAAATATGGGAAATCATAGTTTGAATTCTTTAAAATTAAATTTAATATTTTAGTTTGTTTATGAAAAATGTGTATTACATATTCAATTTAAAATGCATACCTATCTTCATGTTCTTTCATCTTTATTTGGGCGTGATAGGCTTGTCTTACTGTTTCATCATATACATTTGGATTGGTCCACGCTGATTTTCCGTTAGCCTGAAGTTTGGCAAGATCACTTCGGAGCCTTTCATTCTCACACTCCAGTTTGTTGATAGAAGCTGTGTACCTTGCATGTTCCTTGTTACAATAATCTACATTCTGAGGATGGACATAAAATATTAGGTGATTTTTTTAATTAGTAGTACATATTTTCTGTGAAGTTAGTTAAGTATATTGGCAAGTAAGTATCAACCCAATTCATAACTGGTTTTACTCTTGCATACCATCTGAAGACTTCATTCCTCATTTCACCAGAATACATGTACAATAGAGGATGATAGTGGCCCATTGTGCCTTCCAGGTCAAGGATGTTGCCTATATAATTTTATTAAGTATTTCTTTACTGTGTAAATTCATATAACATAAGAGTGATGGGTACAGAAAATCTTACAAATTGTAAAGTTATGCTAATTTCAACTAGGCCCTCAATGCAACAAGGGAATCCTTTCACTCCTCCTTAATTGATTCTCTAACTTACTCTTCACAGCAGCTGTTTCATAGCACTCCTTCACTTAACACTATAACCAGAAGCCCTCAGTTCATACTCTACAAAGAAAATAAAGGTCATTCACCATGAGCCCTCTCTTTTTACCTTTTCTACATTTCACGATGTCCTGACTTTCTGCCCTATTCTTTTACTACTGTCTCCAATGAACAGCTGGCCCTTTTTGCCAAAACCAACCTCACAATTTACTCTTGATTTCTTCTTCTCCAATCTTCTCTAGCAGATTCTCCACAGAATCATTCATTTGATTCTTTCCCATTTTTGCTGTCTACACACAGGCCTAAGTCTTCACCATCCCTACAAAACCCCTCACTTGACCCTACCATCCCCTCAAGCCAGGGATGTTGTGAGGTTCCAATCATTTTGTAAACCTATACAAGTTCCAGTTGTTGTTGTTGCTAGTCTATACTCACCAGGCCTCTGAGCTTTCTATTGCACTCCTGCTGAATTCACACATTGTTTAAAGAGCAAGACAGAGAGAGGTGTGCTGACAAATGTTTCATAACAACAAGGCTCTCTGGGAGGGAAGTATTCATATCTTTTTAAGTTTAATTTGCATTAGCACCATTTTTTAAAGTCTAGACAATCAACAAACAAATAAACCAAGTCTTGATTTATGGTAATTCAGAGCTGGCTCTAGCACACCCCTGCCTCAAGCTAACATCCTGTCTTTTTCAACCAAGCTCCTAGTAAAAGCTGTCTACATTTGTTATTTATATGCAATTCCTTTTCACTCATTCACTTTTCATTCCTTTGCAGTCTGGCTTCTGTCCTCCTCACTCAACTGAAATGGCTCTCTTTAAAGTTACCAGTGATTTCTTAACTGCCAAAAAGCTGTTGGCATTTTCTCGGTCCTCATCTTCTTAACCTCTCTGCAGCAGTTGATACTATTGACCACCTTCTGTCCTCCTGTACACTCTCTTTTCTCTGAGTTTTGTTGACCATACTTTCTCTTGGTTCTCCTCCTACCCATCTGACCATTTCTTCTCTATCTCCTTTGCTGGATCATCAAGCATATCATGCCCATTAGCTATGAGTGTACCCCAAAGCTCCTTCCTGAGACCTCTTCTCTTTTTTTTTGCTAGGCAATGGGGTTAAGTGACTTGCCCAGGGTCACACAGCTAGTGAGTGTTTTGTGTCTGAGGCCAAATTTGAACTCAGGTCGTCCTGAGTCCAGGGCCGGTGCTCTATCTGCTGTGCCACCTAGCTGCCCCTAGGCCTCTTCTCTTTCTGTACCCTGTCTCCAGGTGACCTCATCATCTCCCATGGATTTAATTAATATCTCTGTGTAGGTGAGTTCCAGATCTATATATCCATATTTCTCTTCTTAGCTCCTCATTTTTCATTTCTCTTCTTAGCTCCAATCCTGCATCACCATCTGCCTACTGGATATGTCAAACCTGATGTCCCATAAACATCTCAACCAATAACCAAAACTGAACTTATTATCTTTCCTCTTAAACACATTATTCTTCTAAGCTTACCTATATCAATCAAGGGCACTAGCATCCTCCTAATCAACCAGTTTCACAAACTCAGTGTCATTATCTGGATTTGTTGGATTTCTTACTCTCCCTTATTCCACAAATCCAATCAGTTGCCAAATCTTATTGTATCTACCCTTACAATACCTCTCAAATCTGTCCAATGCTTTCTACTCACAATATCAATCACCATCCTTAATGCAGGACCTCATCACCTTTCATCTAGACTATTGCTATTGGTTTCCCTGCTGAAAGTCTCTGTTCTTTCCAATCTATCTGCCACACAACTGTCAGTCTTTTTCCTAAAGTAAAAATATGACTAGATCACTTCTCTACTCAATAAACTCTATGGCTCCCTATTACCTCTAAAATAAAATATACAATATTTGAAGCTCTTGACACTAACATACCTTTTCAGTCTATTTGTTATTCTGGGCTTCTACCTTTATTTGTGTCCCCAGCACTCAGTACGGTGCCTAGAACATAGTAATCACTTAATAAATGCTTGATTTTCTTCTGCACCTTAAACAATCCAGTCAAAATGACCTTTTTACAGTATAGTATACCATACATAACAATTCATCTCCCATCTCCATGCCTCTGCACACGGGCTGTCCCCCGTGCTTGTAAAGCATCTTCTCCTCACCACCAAAGAATCCATAGTTTTCCTAACTCTGCTCAAGTACCATCTTCTACATGAAACTGCCAGGATCTCTTTGCCTACAAATGATTTTGTATCTACTTTGCATAGACCTACATATGTACAATACATAGAATGTAAGCTCTTTGTGAGTAGGAACTTTAAACTTTTTGCTTTTGTATGCCCAGCAACTAAATTAGTGCCTTAGCATATAACAGGAGCTTAATAAATGTTTGTTTATTGGTTTATTAAACACACACTAAAACAGTAAAATTTAATATATTCCTACAGTTGTTTTTTTTTTTTTTTCGGTGAGGCAATTGGGTTTAAGTGACTTGCCCAGAGTCACACAGTTAGTGAGTGTTATGTGTCTGAGGCTGGATTTAAACTCAGGTCCTCCTGAATCCAGGGCCAGTGCTCTATCCACTGCCACCTAGCTGCCTCTATTCCTATAGTTTTCAGGAACTATTATAAGATAGGCTTGAATTAAGATGAGTTTAAATGTTTGCATGCTCCACATCCATTAATGCACATCTGAAAAATTCTCATTGTGAAATGCTTCCTTAAGTTAATAGAATATTAGAATTGGAAGAAACTTCAGAGTTCAATTCAACTCCTCTCATTTTTTAGATATGGAAACTGAGGCCCAGAGATGTTTAGTGATTTGCCCAAGATGATGTAGTTAGCTAGTGTCAGAACTATGATCAGAACTTGGTTCTCTGGGATCATAGCTTAGCAACTTCTCCATTATACCACAGTATTCATTGCAGCCCTGTCATCCATCTGTTTCTCTATATTTCCAGGCACTTTAGTATAATGCCTGGGGACTTTCATGAGGGCTTCTATTTTAGTAGAAAAGAAGAATGTAAATAAAGAAGTCCTTTTTGAAAGCTATAGGCTCTTGTAATCCTATTTATAAAAACAGGAATAATTCATTTAAGAAAGATTAAAGATTGGCATGAACATGCCAATGGCAAGCCCTTTTTGAGGGAAATTCCATAAGTTTAGGCTGAGTTTAGAACAACAGTTCTCAATTTTTTTTAGTCCCAGGATCCCAAAGAATTTTTGTTTATATGAATTATTATCTATTTATGTCAGCAATTCTCATTTTTTTTTAGTCTCAGAATCCCAAAGAGCTTTCGTTTATATGGATTGTATCTATTGATATTTACTAAATTAGAAATTAAAATATTATTATTATGAATACTTTTGACCTCATGGGCCCCTTGAAAGGATCTTGGGAACACTTTGAGAACCATTAGTTTAGAATATCCTTCTTCCAAATATGAACCTTGAGAGCCAACTTCAACACACTGTAGAAAATTTTAGATGATCATTGATATGGGAAGGAAATTTCAGGGGCATCAATTCAAATCTCTCATTTTATAGATGAGGAACTGAAGCCTAGAAAAATTAAATGATTTGCTTGAGGTCAAACAAGCAGTGAGGAGCAGAGCTAGACTTCAAACACAAGTTCTCTGATTCTCCATTGTTCCATAGGTACAATCATCCTATTCCTTCAACAATCTTTAATTTAACAGTTATGTATCTCATACATATGATAGAATTTGGGGGGATTAAAACATGAAAAGCAATGTTTGGTCATGATCTTATCTACTATACAAGATAATAGGTATACATAGGTATACAATAATTATGAAATAGGCTAGAAATGTGGTTAGGAATAAAGGAGGAATGCAGACACAATCAGAACATCTGACTTACTAGGATCCACTAAAAATAGCAATACTTGAGAAGGCCCAGAGAAGATAGAAAAGGTCTATTTTGAATTATATATTTTTGTTTTTATAGGTACGTCTAAATATTGTCATTTGAACAGCAACATAAAGACAAATACCAGTAGAAATATATTCAATCTAAAATTTTGTGGTGGTTTTTTTCTTTCAGTTTTCTTTCATAGAGGCCTTGGGCTCTTCTACTGTAATTGTGATATAATGAGTAACTTGTTGTGGGCATTCAGAAAATGTTTAATTTGTTTTCTATTTTCATCAGAAGTAAATTAACCTTGAGGGTTCTCTCTCTGAGGTGAAACTCTTTTGAAATAATGAATACTTGGGGAGAGTTTGTTTACTTCCATGCTTAGGAAATGCTTTTTTTCAATGCAAAGGACATTTCACTAAAAGCATTATTTGTAATTATGAGACTCAAGCTTTTTTCATTTAGGATCTCAGTGATTGTTTGATTTACCAAGATGCAGATGAAAGATGTACTTGTGTCCAATTCCCTGGAGTTGGGCTAGTAAAAATTAAATGCAGAAGTCCTGGGACACCAGGGATAGAGATGAATCAACTAACAAAGGAGGCAAGAATACAGTCAGATCATGGATACAGAGTCAATAAAAAGAGAAAACAAGAGAAGAAGCAACTATGAAGCAAAGGTGGGACTGTATATTCTCAATATAGAATTGGTGAAATTTTATAGGGACATTGCTAAAGTGACTTCCTTATATAGACAATTAGTTCATAGAGACAATTAGTGGCAGAGTTCAGATTAGAACCCATTTCTCTTCATTTCTCAGGTATTGTTTCCATTATTCTAAACTGTCTCTTGAATTGATGAGAAAAAGGTAGATGAAGGGAGAAGCTGGGTCAAGAGAGGTGTTAGAACAAGGGAAAGGTCCAGAAAACCTGGAAAATGCTGAGAGTAGATTAAACTGGTTGACTTTTTCTTGGGGTAGGAATCAGCAAGCCTTCTACTCTCTCTTACATAGGATCTTTGTTTGCAGGATGTGCTCATTTTGATTTCTTAAAGTGGCAATACTGTCAATTGATGGGACCAGCATAATATTTCTAACTTCTCATTTTAAAAAGTCAAAATTGCTTATCATGAAATTATGGTACATCTGCTGCAATATGACAATTATTTTTTTAATACAATTTGTCCTTCATAAAGAAGTTTGTATTGAAAGATCTGATTTGAGAATGCCTTGCAAAAGACTAATAATTATACTTACAATAAGGTGCCTGCCAATATTAATTTGTGTAGTACTTTTTGATCTACTGTCCAAATTGAAAAAAACAAGCTTTGTCTGTAATTATTTTTTTAAATGTATGGCTCTTTGACCTAGTCTTCATTATGGTAACTAAGAATTATGATTACAGTGATGAGTAAAAATCAGAGTTTTTCCAAGCTAAGCAAAACCAGAAAAAATAAGACAGAAAATACATGTATTATATAATCCCAGAGTTCTAAAGGAGGCCATCCAATACAACCTAAAACTGAAAAAGAGGGGGTCACTCCACCTTTGCTTGAGGGCCACCACTGAAGGGATGCACAATATGCCCTGAAGCAGTCCATTCCATTTTGGGATAGCTTCCAGCTCTACCCTCTGGGGCCAAGCAGAACAACTTTCATCCCCCTTCCTAATAAGTGCTCTTCAAATACTTGAAGACACCTAACATATCCCTCTAGGTCTTTGTCAGACTAAACATCTCTAATTCCTTGAAACAGTCCTCTGAAGGACTAAACTTGAGGCCTTTGATCATTCTGGTTGCCGCCCAGGTTTTTGGTGTGCTTCTTAAAATGAGGAACTCAGGAGCATGAACACAATGCTCCATCTATGTTCTCATTGTTCCTAGAAGCTATGGTCTCGTAATGCTGCCCAACATGTCATTAGTTTATTTGGCTTCCAATCACATGTCGACTCATGTTAAGTCTATAGGTCACTAAAATCTTCAGATCTTCTGGTAAACTACTGTCCAATCACACATCCAGTTTGTACTTGAGAAGTTAATTTCTCTAATCCAAGTGTAAGACTTTACATTTATCCCTTTTTAATTTCACCCAATTATATTTAGCTTAAGGTGCTAACCTGTCAAGACCTTTTAGAATCCCAATTCTGTCATCTAGTATGTTCGCTACTATTCCCATCCCAGCCCTAACTTTGGATCATTTGTAATTTTGATAAGGACTATATACTAAATGACATTTATATGATTTATATCATATATAATCATTTATATGATTTGTCAAAGATGAACCAAAAGTCCTACTCTGATGGCTCACTGTGGCATGGAAGTTATCTTGTATTTGTGATGGCTGTGCCAGTAGAAGATAAGCTTTGGCAGGTTCTAGCGAGCCAGAGTGATTTTCATTAGGGTCCCAGCAACTGATGTATCTGCAGCTGGAGGACCAGCCTAGCTGAGTATGGAGAAGTTCCATCACTAGTAGACTGACTGTGGCAATCTATGGAACAAAGAAGTTTCAGTCTTTAGTCCCCTTCCATTCCTACAATAATGTTGATATGGAGGTGAGATGGAGTACAGAGGTCGCTAAGAGTAGCACAATTTTTTAAACCTAAAAACACTCATTTAACTGTTGGTACTCTAAAATAAACGAGATCCTCATCCAATGAGTAAGAAGTGAACATAATACTGGAAAATGGAATCATATTAATATTTACATTTCTGCAATAAAAGAAACTAACATATACATACATATATACATATATGTATTGTGTGAATATATGTACATATGTGTTTATATATACATATACACTCACACACACATACATATATATACACACATGCATACGTATGTAACTTGCCGCTAAATGGAAGTATGGCTCACTGATTCTCTTTGGAGAGGCAAATAAAGGAACTAGTAGGCTAGGTTTTACTGTTTGGTCAAAGGTAACTAGAGACCTCATTTCCTGGTATACACAGTCATCTCCTTCTGTAGGACTCATAATTAGCATAAGTAAAATAGACTATGATGAAAATAACAGCAGCTTATATGCCAACATCTGAGGCACAGGGTGAGGAAGCAGAGATATTCCTCAAAGAACTTACTCTAATTCTAAATCTGCGACTCTGTGATGCAATAAGCCTACACATTGAATCATACTTTAATACTCAGTGACTTTCATGCAAAGTGAGCATGAGATGGATGGCAAAAATATACTGGAAAATATGACTAAGAACCTAAGAAACAAAAGAGAACAGAAGCCTGTGGACAATAAAGGAGTCAATCTTATAAATAATATTTTCTTTAAGAAAGGCAGTGTCATGAGCAAGGCAGCAGAATATGATGGATAGCCTGTTGGATGTGGAGTCAGAAGACCTTTTTTTGAATCCTACCTCAGACACTTAATAGCTAAGTGATACTGAACAAGTCACAACTTCTGTCAACCTTTGCTTCCTGATCTGTAAAATGGGGATGAGATAACCTTCCTCATAGGACTGTTGTATCAAATGAGATAATATATGTAAAGTACTTTGAAAAACTTAAGGCTTTATGTAAATGTTAGCTATTGTTAAGAATTGAATGTTGCTAAATAACTGAAGCATAACATGATACAAAATAAGATTAACTATTTTTTAAAATTCAATTTTATTTTATTTTCAGTTCCAAATTCTCTTCCTCCCTCTTACCCCTCCCCACTTGTTGAGAAGGCAAAAAAAATGGAGCATAACTAAAATAGCTCGAAGCTGACTTATTTAAACCAAAGATTAATATTAATGACAGGAAAATGAATAAAAGATGCTGACAATGCACTATCACCATTTTCTATAGAAATTTAACTGATATAAAGAAATAGCCACAATGAGGAGGCCAAAATAACCTAGCAAATGTCTCTGTAAACACCTGAATTTTGCCCAAACACAAGGACATAGAATTGGATCCAGAGTTAGAAGGCACCTTAGGGGTCATCTAGTGTAGCCCTTTCATTTTACAGATGAGGAACTGAGGTCTAGAAGAATTAAGTGACTTGCTCCATGACAAACAGTTAGTAAGGAGTAGAGATGACACTTAAACCCAGGTCTTTTGACTCCAAAGTCAGTTCTCTACAAGGACAACATTAGCTTAGAAATATTAATTCATTTGTAAAAACTTATGGAAGATTATGAGCAATGTTGCTTCATAAAACTGAAAGAAGTAACGTAAGAAAGAACAAGTTGGCCAAAAGCTTATTAGCACAACATGCAAGACATTATCTTGAAACCATTTAAAGATAGAACTGGAAACAGGTCAATAGGCAGACAAAAAATGGAGAAGTTCTTTCAATACTTCTATAACAAAATATTTTCTTTATCAGTTACAACGGAGCTATCATATTTGGACATTAATACCACTGTCTTTGATGATCCTGAAAGAAGAAGTGATCTAAGATTGAACAAGAGATGGACTTGACCAAGTCCATGCTGGGGGGTCTGTGGGGGAGACCACACCATTTTGAATCAAACAAATGACCTCGACATTTATTAATTAGGACTAACTGGGTAGAAGACCATTTTGTATAAGTGAACCGAATAAAATTAAAATTTTAAGGAAAGATAAATGCAGCTTATTGCTGACAAAATGCTGCCTAGCAAATGTCCATCTAGGACTAGTTCTAATGAATGACTTGTAATTAGCATTACAAGCATATTTATATCAATTATTAGCATGCAAATGTATGTGTTTAACAGAAGTAAAGGTGCCTGAAAGCACCTTTCTTAAATAATTTAACCCTTAGTATCCCTTGGCATCTTGCCACACTATCAATTTGCTTAGCAGACTCTTTATTATTAGTGCAACAGTAAACCAACCTAGCTTCTGCCCAAATTGTTGCAAATTCTGAATTCAGTGGGATCTGAACTAATGAGTTTTTACTGTATCTTCCTTAACTAATAAAAAGAAAGAGGTAATAGCATTTTGTACAGATACAGAATCATAGAAAAAGGATCCTGATATTATGAACTTGATTCTGTTTGGGTTGACTGCCAACAGTGAGGAAGGAAAGCCAGTAGAGTCCCTTCTTGGAGTAAAATTTGTGCATAACAGCCACAGTGATGGACCTATATGGCATCACTGGTTCTATTACTTTTCTAAGCATCTTTCTGAGACATGACATAAAACTGCTGATTGATGACTATAGCTACACTCCCCATAGGAAAATGGGACTGCTGGTAGATTTGACTCCTCTCACCAAAGTTTAAATCTGCAGAGGGTTATAGATACTTGGGCAGAATAGTTTTTAAAGATACTTAACATACATAAGTTATATAAAAATGGCCTACCTTAGTATCAGTAACTTCACTTGTCTAGAACCAGAAAAATATAACATAATTATTACCTTAATAATGGCCAATTATCACATATCTTAGATGACCTAAAATAACTATAAAATGTTTTTAGTCTCTCATTTTTATAGAAGTTGAAATTTCCAATGGTAATGTTTGATTATTTAGTCCTTTTCATTTAATAATTCCATTCATTTCACAAAGGACTAAATATAAAACTGTATTATTTTTAACACAGGAAAGAACTTTAAGTGTTCAAAACTTCTGTCCACCCATTTTTATTTAGGGATACAAAAGAAACAAAATACAGAGCCTTTCTTCCCAAGCAGTTTACAGTCACATTGGAAAGACAAAACTAATATGAGTCATACAACAGTGAACAGTATGATATAAATTATAATTACATGCTAAATTTCAAGATACAGGAGGATACAAGACTTGATAGTTTTTTCCCTAGTGTCTTGAATGACAAGCATAATGTCCTCCATTAATATTTTTTATTTATGTGATCTTAGATAGCGGTGCTATCAATCAATTTAGTCTATCAATAAATATATTTCATCATAAAGTTCTGTCATAGGCCTGGTGGGGTGATGCAAAAGAAGTATTAAAGATGGTCTCCATGATCTCTACCTTTGGTGATCTTTCAGTCGTGTTAGGGGACAAAGATGGATATATGTAAAACAATTAATTAGAGAAAAATAAAAGACTGCATATAATTAAGTGCTAAATTATGTAGTGCAGACTAACTCCTAGAGGAGTTCAGAGGAAGAAGAGATAAGACAGTAATCATCCTAGATTTCATGGAGAAGATCATATTTCACCATGACCTCTAAGATTTAGAGAAGGGTGAGAGGATACAGAAAAAGCAAAGGCATGGAGGTAGGAATGTATACTGCACATGTACAGGACAACCAAAAGACCAATCAAACTAATCAAAGGGCTTGTGTTTCATGGTGGAAGGAAAATAAGGCTAGATGGGTTGATTGAAGTCAAGGTCCTTTGAGAGAGAGGCCTTGAGAGTTTAGACTTGCTACAGTAGACTACAGGAATCCAGCACTGGATCTTGATCAGAGAAAACTGAAATGATATGCCATGTTTTTAAGAAAGATTAACCTTGTAGGTAAATGTAAGAAAGGCTCAAGAAGGACAGAGATTATAAGTAAAGAAAACCAGGTAGAGAGCTGTTGTGGTAATTCACCTATAAACAATAAAGGTTTGAACTAGGTTGGTAGCAGTATGGAGAACAGAACACAAATTTAATACTCTCTTGTATCTGTAAAGTGTTTCATTGTTTGCAAAGCACTTTCACACACGTTACTTCATTTGATCCTTATAACAACCATAATAGTTATGGAGGGCAGATTCAGTGATCTCTCTTTTACAAAATAGAAAACTGAGATCCAGAAAAGTTAAGTGACTACCCCAAGGTCATACAGTTAGAACATAGGTCTCTTGACTCTGAATCCATTGCTCTTTCCAGCTAGAAAGGTGAGCTGGTTTAGGTTAGGAAGAAAATTAGTTCTGCTAGGACCATGTTGTAATGTGGCAATGGACTTCCAATGGGAATATCCCATTGATAAACTGGAGATGTGAATTTGAAATTTAAGTGAAAGGTAAATATTGGAAGTATAGACTCTGAAGTCATTCACAGAGAGGTGATCAATGAAACCCTGCCTGGATCTCTGTTCCCTGAGGAAGTAAAGAGAAAGATAAGCAGAAACCCAGGAATTAATGATACAACTTTATATGTACATATAGTAATGCTTTACAGACACAAAATGCTTTGACATGTATATATATATATGCATACATATATATGATCTCTTTTGATACTAATAACAACCCCATAAAGTAGTGAGTCTTGGTGGAACACCTGTGGAGGAGAAGGGAAAGGAAGCCAAAAGAAGGAGACAAAAGAATAATTGGAGAGTAGTGGAGGAGTCCTGCTAAAGTGGAGCATCGTGGAAGTCAAAGGTGGCAAGTTTTCAGAAGCCAGTTTAAGACTAGCTGCTGCTGGGGGCAACTAGGTGACTTGCCACTTACTAGCTGTGTTACCCTGGGCAAGTCACTTAGCCCCAATTGCCTAAAAAAATAAACAAACAAAAGAGACTAGTTGCTGTTGTTGTGTACATTTCCCAAGTGGATGTACATTTCTGATTCACATCTTTGGTGGGTTTTAGAGTATTAATTAACAATCAGTTGCTACTTATTAACAATGCTGAATACTATAAAAATATTGCATGAAAGTTTCTCACTTTTATACCATAAATAGGCTTCCTTTATTGGGTTTCAAGATCAACAAGAACCTTAGTAGGCAGCAATAAATGAAATGAAGCATCCTGAGCTGACATCTTTGCTGTAGAAACCTTTTTTTTTTTGTTTTGTTTTTGCAAGGCAATTGGGGTTAAGTGACTTGCCCAGGGTCACACAGCTAGGAAATGTTAAGTGTCTGGTCTGAGACCAGATTTGAACTCAGGTCCTCCTGACTCCAGGGCCAGTGCTCTATCCACTGAGCCACCTAGCTGCCCCTGTAGAAACCTGCTCAGAGCTCTGTAATTCTATTCTTCGACCAGAAATAAGCCTAGTTTTGTGAGGAAGATGGAGGCAAGGAAGATTTCTTTCCTCTCCTTGACTGAAAAACATGAGTCCTCCAGCACGAAGGGGAAAAGTGAGGTCAATAGGGATTAAGATCCAAATGTACAAGAGTATTTGCAACCTTAATCACTCCTTCTGATAATTTATAACTCTGTATAGGCAGATATACATAATTACAATGAAAACTGCCATGAGTGTGGCACATTTAATAAATTACCAGGTATCTTCCAGTCTCCAAATCTCCCATCATTCCTTTCAGATGTGTATTTTCAGATCTGACAGCTTTATATCTCATATCTGACAACTGAAACAAGATGAATATGCCTATTAGGATTCTCTTGTTACATTTTCCCTATGCCCTACTTTTAGAATTTCACTGGCTCCTACTTTACCCTCCTTTTCCTGATTAATTCTATAATAAAAAACAAATGTTTACAAGAATCTTCTCTATTACTCTTCTTGTTTAAACTTTCTATATCTCCTCTCTCTTTTCTAAGCCCAGTGATATGGTGGAAAAGACAATGGATCTGGAATTAGATGACATGGGTCCAAATGTGACACAAGGCTAGTTGTTCTCACTCTCAGGTGTGAGATGAGAAGGTTGGCCTAAATATCTTTAAGGTTTCTTCCTGCTTTAATCCTGTGGTCTAATAAAGTCACCTCACCTTTATGCTCTTCTTGTCCCTTAAACCAACTACATTATTCCTAACTTCAAAGTTCCTCATCAACTTTTGGCAAAAATCTTATCATACGAAATTCTAAACTTTTGTTCTTCTGACCTTTTTGTAATTATTTCCTTCTTGCTTTCTTCTAGAATTCTGTCCCTTAATTTGAGTTATTTTCTTTCATAAGCCCTACTTTAGGACAATGACTATTCTATTTACCTACTAGATTTCTCTTAAATCTATTTTTTTCTTTATATAATGTCACAATGATATCATCTTCTGTATTGCTTTCCATAGTATTGGATTGCTTCACTAAAATCTATATCAAAGTGATATGTTCTATTTGTGTTTATAAAGAATGGTACTCTTGAGGATAATTGACTATGCTATTAGTAATACAACCCTTCTTAGCATCTCAGTTTCTTCCTTGGACTGCATCCTATTTTCCCAATTTGCTCACACTCTTGACGACTATAGTAGGGTGATCCTTAAGCTGCTGAATTTGGGGAAACAAGTAGAAAAAGCTAAGCTTTCATTATGGACCTCCAAACTGAAAGGTGGATAATGGATCAAAAGGATTTCAATATAATAACACTTACTGTTATTTACTGTAACCATTAATTATGGAATATTAATAGTGGAATTTTAAAGTTGTCTGGTTTCCTTGGGCATCTTGCCGTATTATCCATTGAGTATTCAATAAATCTTAACTAATTTTCACATTTAAAATATTTTTTAGCAAAACAAAACAAAACAAAAAACACTCTAAGGGAGTGTGGGAGCAGGAGAAAAGGGAAAAACAACTTGAGAAAAATCTAATGATTAATTGGATTATTTTAAAAGTTATAAGTTTTAATAAAAAAGTGGATACAGAAATCAAACTCAGCAAATCTTTGAACACAGTTATAGCTATGAAGGTTAAAAGAAGGACTTATTATTGCAAAGTACTTCATCTTAGTGGATTTAATTCAATTGTTTTGTACTAGTACTTTATGGTTTTTATGTTCCAAGATCTTTTTTAACTGCATCTAACATTATATCACAAAGCTTTCATATGGTAGTGGTACTGTTAGAATTAATAGTGCAAAATTAAATGTCTTTATTAGTTAATAATGAATTCTAATATTTATGATGGAGGAGAATGCCCTACAGAGACCCTACCATTTTGCATACCTGTTGTTTTGCTAACATTTTCTCTTTTATCTCTAACTCCATTTTTAACTGTCTTTCCAGAAGAGCAGCTTTCTTCATAACAGTTGCTATAGTGATCTCCTTCTGATGAAGCTCTTCTGTCAGGTCAGAGATTTCACTCCTCATTCTTTCCTGTTCAGAGCTGTGCGACTGTTCTTCTTGATAAAGATTGGCTCTTATCTGCAGCAGATGTGTTCGAGAAAAGAAAGAATACAATGTACTGTGTTTGTGACTAAATGCATTACATTGATTTTCATGTCCGCATTCTAATAAACTAGATTTAAGAATATATTAAAGTGTATGCTTAATTTAAAAGAACTTCCTTCATTGAAAGATTAATTTATAAGCTATAACACACTCAACTCCCAATTATCTAGGCGTTGATCCCCTGTGCAAAGATTTTTCATTCTAAGCTAACTTTGTTCCTGACCCTAACAAACCCCTACCCCATTTAGTCTGTATATTGGATGCCCATAGTCTTTGTACACAAGGCCTGGGGTCCTTGCAGTCTAGCCCTGGGTCCATCTGTTTTCACTTCTATAGAGGTTCACCAATACTATTGTTTTACACTATTGGATTATGTAGTTCAAATCATTGGACCAACATTACTTTTATCTGTAAGTGGTCCAACCTCAGAAAATCCCAACTACAATGAGAATAAGGGAGAGAGTGAAGAGGCTAAGAGAAGGCTTTTTAATTCTGGGAGGTGGAGGTGGAGGAAGAAGGAAAGAGAAAACAAGCATTTATTAAGCTTGTAGTGCCAGGCATTGTGTTAAATGCTTTAAAAATATTATCTCATTTTTTTTATGAGGGTAGAGGTCCTATAAAAAGAAGCTAAGTGATAAAGGTGGTGAAACTGGAAAAAAAATCAATTAGTTGAGCTTCATTACTCTCTTTGGGCTTATGAAGGGCAATGATACCTCTCCCCAGTAGATAATATATATGAGAAAACAATCAGTAAGACCCAGAAAAAGAAAAAGCTCCCCCATGGTCATTTCTTGCTGTTCATCCAAGATGTAAAAAGGAACAGTGGAGGAAGTAGAGGACTAATTTTTACTATCTAACCTCACTAGTAAAAATATTAAATTTGATTGGATTTACCTAAGCACATTTGTTTTTTAAATTAAATGCTTAAGCTATAAAATGGAATGCACTATTATAAAAAGTACCATGCTACTTATATTATTCTCATAACATGGGGATCTTGAAGTAACCTCTTCTATTGAAAAATTACTTTCTAAATAAGATTAATATACTTGAGCTCCAAATGACTTTAGACCTCATTGAAAATGCTCATTTCTAATTGAAATAACTTAGAGCAGTTGTATTTTGAGAATTGAGATTAGAAATAAAACACAACATAGAGAGCTTTTAATTGGTTCAGCTATGAGAGAATACAAATTCACTATTAGTTTCTTCACGGAAGATAAAGCTATTTTTGTACAATTCATTTGTTACCTTTCCTGCCTACCACTGCATTATCTAGTATTCTCCAAGATACTGTGAAGGGATTTGGACCTCATAATCTTTGCCTCAATAACAAATAGTGCCATATCAGTAGAATCTTATATTATTCCAAGTTTTATTTTCCAACTTAATTCTATGAAAGTAAGAATCAGGTTAACCGTATTGGAATTTGCTTAGTTCACCCTTTACCATATGACATTTTATGGTATAACAGCAGTATTTAATTTTAAAAATTTAATTCTGCCACATTTTAAAAGATCAATAAAGTTGTTGACATTTAGCTTTTCAAGGATTCAAAACTGTATGTGGAGACAGGTAGGTGGTTCAGTGGATAGAGAACCTGCCCTGGAGTTAGGAGGACCTGAGTTCAAATTCAGCCTCAGACACTTACTAGATAGGCAAGTCACTTAAATCCTGATTGCCTCCAAACAAACAAACTGTATGTGATCCAAGGGGCAATGGAGACATAGATGGTTGATGGAAATAGATAGTGGTATATCACCTACAGTGACCGTTGCCAGAAAATGACATATAAGATAGCATTTAGGATCAAAGAATCACAGAATCTTGGCTTGTAGGGAATCTCAGAAGCCATCTTGTTAAACCCATACCCAAAAAAGTAAAATCAAATCAAGCCAAATGAGTGTGTCAAGTTGAGCCCATAGTCCTATAATATGAAGAATGGGGACAATTTGCCTGCCTCCAGTCTTGCAACATTTCTCTTATCATAACTTATCAAAGATCCCCACCAATAGCTTAGCGTTGATATTCGCCAGTTTTTGTTTGTTTGTTTTTGTTCTATGGGATGCAATAGAGCTTGGGGACCTAAGCCATAGGATTAAGAGGTTAGTCCAAGACTGCCACTTTACGGATGTGAGACGTTTGTTGTATGCCTTGGAAAGGCCCACAACACAGAGTGCAACCCCTCTCCAATCTTCTCTCAAATACTTAGTTTTTGCTCTTTAGAAAAGTCATCACCCTTCGGCCACCCCGATGATGTGCCTCTCTGCTTTTGGGGAAGCTGGTTTTCTGATAACAGACACACCATCTACCAAGTTCATGGCCCAAGTGGAGTAGAAACTTCCAGAACTTGTGCTCCAGGTTGAAGCATATGTTTTCTTTTTCTTGGATTTTTTCTGTTTTTTCTTTCATAGCATGACTTACATGGACATGTGTTTTGCATGACTATACATGTATAACCTATGTAAAATTGCTTGTCTTTTCAATGTGGGGGGAGGATAGAGAAGGAGAGAATTTGGAACTCAGAATATGAAAAAAAAAAGAATGTTAAAATGATTTTCACATGTAAGTGAGGGGGGGAAGAGGAGCTTGCACTCTAATGGTATAGTCTTCAAGAAATCAGTGAGGAGGCCGAAGACAGGGACTTTAGCAGAGGCCTAGTTTTAAAGTGCTAAAGCAAAGCTATTCTATTTTTTCAATTAATTTTTTAACAATGCCAGTTGAGATCATAAAACATGGCATATCATGCCTGAATCTTAGTACCAAAGGTCAGAGATTCCATGAAGGGAATCCCATCCCTGTTTTTATCAATCAATTAATCAATCAATCAATCAATCAATCACTCCAGCATTTATCAAGAGCCTGCTATGTGCCAGCCACTCTGCTGGGCACTGGGAATACAAGTACAAAGAAGGAGAAATCCCTACTCACATCCTGAGTTTACTGGGGTGGGGAGGAGTAATGGTAAGACAATACGCCCTAGTTCAAATACATACAAAAGTAACATAAATCTAATATATACAAGGTAGTTAGGGAGGAAGGGCCTTAGCAACTGAGAAGATCTGGAAAGGCTTTCCATTCGTATCCCGAAGGAAGAGAGAAATTCTGAGGCAGAGGTGTAGAGGGAAATGGAGCCAGAGCTCTGGGAGAGGAACTGAGAGAGGGGCATTTGATTGGATCTCAGAGTACAGGGTGGGGAGTAATGTACCACGAGGCTAGAAAGAAAGGTGAAAATTACCAGAATGGAAATAGAGAATGCCTCTTCCCCTTGAATGGAAGCACATCACCTCTGAGTGAATGTTTTGTGTCCACGTCCCATGGGTTATGCAGGGGGCTATGGGATGTCCCTGGGTGTTCTCTCTGGGTTGCTAAAATAAGCTATGTTACTTTTCTGCGTATAGGAAAGAGACACTCCAAGAAATGTCAGAACCAGACACTTCATAGGTTACAACTTGAGGAAATATAGAAAAGTAAAGGAAGGAGTGAAAATAAGTGTATTCCATTTCAATCCAAGGGAGATAGATTTCTTGACCTACCTTCAAAAATTCAGCTAATTATTTTTCATACCTTGTTCAGTTCCTTTTCCTGATTTGCCTGGTCAGGTGTCAAGGAGAATAGCTCTTTCTCTTTTCTTTCTGGTTCTTTGAGGATATGTGAATAGGACGGCTCAAGCCTTCAAATTAAAATCAAATAATGAATAAAAGTGAAACAACTTGATATGCTGTTACAATTATATTTGCTTCATAGCAGCCCACATCAGGGAGGTCACAATCCACTGAAGCATTGAAGGGCTGTATTTAGTAACTGTATGTTGTAGGGTAAATTCAGTAGTTCTTTGGAAACATGTATGTGATAGGAATTCAAATTCTAGAACACACAAACCTCATTCAACAGTAAAATTTTTAGATACATGCTGTGCTTTTATGAACATATTGATTTACAGTCAATAATGAGGCATTTCACCTATTCACATGTAGATTATTGAATATGTCATTGGGATGAGATGTGAAAGGAAGGTTTTAGAGTAGGATCATAGGGTCTTGAGACCTTAGAGAATATCTAATTCAACTTCTTCAATTGGTGAACACTGAGGCCCAGCTGAGCAGTACCAGATTTCAAACTAGATTACTAAGTGGTAATCATCAAATGTTGTTGTTCAGTTGTATCTAACTCTTCATGACCCTATTTGGGGTTTTCTTGGCAAAGATACTGGTAGAGTGTTTTGCCATTTACTTCCCCAGATCATTTTACAGGTGAGAAAATTGAGGCAAACAGGGTTAAGTGACTTGTGGCCAAAGTGTCACAGTAGATAGAGTACCTGGAGTCAGGAAGCTTCATTTTCCTGAATTCAAATCTGACCTCAGACACTTACTAGCTGTGTGACTCTGGGCAAGTCACCCAGTTTGCCTCAGTTTCCTCAATTATAAAATGAGCTGGAGAAGGAAATAGCAAGCCTCTCCAATATCTTTGCCAAGAAAACCCCAAATGGGATCATGAAGAGTTGAACATGACTGAAAAACAACTGAACAACAAAAATCATCAAAACAATCTAGTACTGACTAAGAAATAGAGTGGAGGATCAGTGGAATATATTGGGTACACAATGCACAGTAGTAAATGACCATAATAATCTGCATTTGATACATCCAAAGCCATTTGATAAACCTGGTGGGACAACTGGAAAACAGTATGGCAGAAACTATGGTACAGACCAACATCTCCAGGATAAGGTCAAAATAGGCAGATGATTTAGACATAAAGGATGATATCATAAGTATATTAGGTGACCATGGAAAAATTTACCTGTTAGATATATAGAGAAGACTATGACTAAGCAAGAGAAAGAGAGGACCATGGGAAGTAAAATAGATGATTTCGAGTACATGAAATTAGAAAGTTTTTGTACAAACAAAATGAATGCAGCCAGAATTAGAAGAAAAACAGGAAACTAAAGAAAAAAATGTATGGCAAGTTTCTCTGATAAAGGCTTCATTTCTCAAATATGCAGAGAATTGAGCCGAATTTGTTAAAATAAGAACCATTTCCTGATTGAGAAATGGTCAAAAGATATGAACAGGCAGTTTTCAGAAGAAGAAAGCAAAGCTATCAATAGTCACGTGAAAAAATGGTCTAAATCACTGTTGATTAAAGAAATGCAAATTGAAACAATTCTGAGATACCACCTCACGCCTACCAAATTGGCTAACATGACAGAAATGGAAAATGACAAATGCTGGAGGTGATGTGGGAAAATAGGGACACTAATGCATTGTTGGTGGAGTTGTGAACTGGTCTAGCCATTCTGTAGAACATTTTGGAACTATGCCCAAAAGGCTATAAAACTGTGCATTGGCCCTGCAATACCACTACTATGTCCATATCCCAAAGAGATCAAAGGAAAGGGGAAAAGATCTATATTTTTGAAAATATTTATAGCAGCTCTTCTTGTGGTGGCGAAGATTAGAAATTAAGAGAATGCCCATCATTTGGGGAATGGCTGAACAAATTGTAACATATGATTGTGATGGAATATTATTCTGCTATGAGAAATGATGAGCAGGATGGTTTCAGAAAAACCTGGTAAGTCTTATATGAACTGATGCAAAATGAAGTGAACAGAACCAGGAAAACCTTGTACACAGTAACAGGAATATTGTAACAATGATCAGCTGTGAAAGACTTAGCTATTCTGATCAAGACAACGATCCAAGACAATTCCAAAGGACCCATGATAAAAAAATGCTTTCCACCCTCAGAGAGAGAGAACTGATGAACTCTAAGTACAGGTTGAAGCATACTTGTTTCACTTTATTTTATTGGGGGATTTTTTGTGTGTTTTCTTTTGCAACATGGCTAATATAGAAATATGTTTTGCATGACTTTACATGTAAATCAGTATCATATTATTTGATTTCTCAAGGGATAGGGGAGGGGCAGGAGGAAGGGGCAAGAGGAAGGGAGAGAATTTGGAACTCAAAAAAATAAATGTTAAAAAAATTTTAAATGAAATTGATAAATATTTAATGAAACAAAAATATATTAAAAAAGAAAGAAAGAAAACTGAGGCCCAAAAAGACTAAGTGATTTGCCCAAGGTCACATAAACAGAGCAAAAATTTGAAGCCCAGTCTTCTGACTGGGCATTTATCAAGTACCTGCTACAAAACAAGCATTTCTTAAGTACCTGCTACATACCAGGCACTATGCTAAGCATATTTAAATGAAACACATACTATTTTACACAAAACATTCATTTTAAATGTGTAAAAGCAAATAATCTTTAGAGTTTTAATAGGCTGAAAATACAAATATGTCCTCAAATTCTTTCGTGAATGGTAAATCTAAAATGAACTTTTAACTTTTAAAACACTTTTAAATTAGCAATGTCTGGGGTATATCACTAACATTTTGAAGTCAATGTCATGTTCTTCTTTAAAAAATGTATCTGATGCCATGGTTAGAGATAATACTGGACTGGATGGACCATGTTCTACATATAGGACATTAAATAAATGTTGATTGCCTGATAAATAAACTACTATTGTATAACCTGTTCCAAAGATTAAATGACATTTCTTCTATACTGGTAGATTGTTATTCTAAGACATCATTTTTGTGGGTCCCATCTTGCCATTTAATATTGAAGATGATTCAGGGTTTGTCCAAGTTGCTGCAGTTTATCAGTCGTTTCATGTTTCAAAGTCATAAGGTTGACCTTTACTATCCTTTCTCATGGTATGTATATTATAATTACTACCTCTATCATATAATGTTGAACTTGCAGTAAAAATACCACTTCACCATGAAACAGTTAGATTCTTAAAAGACTAGCTTTGATCCAGGGTTAACTAATGAGAATTAACATATTAAGGAAATGTTACAATCAAGCGGTTAAGTTGTTTAGTTATTCACGAGTATGAACATGTTATGATCTTTAGTAGTCCAAATTCCTTTGTGGTTACCTGGTATGCCCACATAATTGTATGATTCTAAATAGGGAAAGGAAATCTGTCCTAATGAGCTTTCAATGACATGACAAAACGATGGACAGGGAGGCTAAAATTAAAATAGCATTTGTGAAATGAAAACTGTTAATTATATGGAAGCAGGAATAAAATCTTTTAAAAATGGTTACTATTTAATCAATCTGCATACAAAGTAAAAAAATCTATACTACAACTTCCATGAAATCCCAAAGAAAAAAGACTTTGAGATAACTTTTAAGTACATATGAAATGTGTATCCACAAATTATTCTAATGTCTAGTGGCTAAAGCCAACATTTTTTAAATAAAGACTGAAGATTAAATAACCAGCTGTTAAATATATTTTTTTAAAAAATCTGACAATATGGTATTATCTATAAGCATATAAATTAGCAGATAGGTACTTTTTATTCTTGCATCAAATCAATCCCAAAGAAACATGTAAATACTATGAGTTTAATGATTCCTTCTAAAAATAAATATTGAATTTAAAGAACATACCTTTTTTGATTATCTTGAAAATTTTGGTACTCTCCTATTTTCAATAATTCTCTATGTAACTGCAGTCGTTCCATTTCTATAACTCTCAAGAGATCATCACGTGACTGTAATTCATTTTTCACCTCTGAAAGTCCTGCTTCCATGGTCTAAATAGAAAATCGAAATGATTTAATGGTAATATTAAGATTTCATGATCTCATGGAATATATTAAAACAATTTTATAAAACAGTCTTTTAAAAAATGAACTAATGTTAAGCATTTTGTTAAATAAGAATCAAAGTTTATAGAATCTGTTTCATTAAAGCTCTAAGTCATAAGTCATAAAAGTCAGAGAACTTTCGAGCTAGAAAGAACCCTAGAGATCTCATAGGGCAATACCTCCATATTAAAGATGATGAAATTGAGGGCCAGCACATTTAAATTATTTGCCCTCAGTCACACATTAACTTAATGGCAGAAGAGGTTCTAAAAACAGGTCTCTGGACTTCTAGTTTAATAATAACATTTAGGACTAAATCATTTGATCCATTCTCAGTCAACATTCATGACCTAAAATGGAAATAATGGAGATTAAGGCCTCTCTGTTAATAATCTTTTAAAGAAATACTATGATAGACATTTGCCCATCACCTAACATAGTCTCCTGTGAGAAAGGACTTAATATAAAATGGTGAATCAAATTTAACTGAAAGGATTATGTAGAAAGGGAAGTTGTTAATAAGAGTCACTATGGAAATATCAAAAACAGATCATGCCAAACTTACTTTATTTCCCTTTTCTTTCTTACTAGACTGGTAGATGAGGAAAATGCCATAGACATAACATATACCTGGGTTTCAGCAAGGCATTTAGCAAAGTCTCTTAACAATAACCTTTTGGACAAGATAAGGAAGATTTGAAATGGATGGTAATATGGTTAGTTGGATTTGGAATTGTTTGAATGACCAGACCTAATCAGCAGTGTGACTATGAGCAAGTCACTTCTTGGAGCCTCAGTTTATTAATGGATTGGATGAAAATATGGATGGCCTTATATGGGGTTTTTTGGGGGGTTGGTATGGTAATTGGGGTTAAGTGACTTGCCTAGGATCACACAGTTAGTGTCAAGTATCTGAGGCCGAATTTGAACTCAGGTCCTCCTGCCTCCAGGGTTGGTGCTCTGTCCACTGTGCCACCTACCTGTTCCCCATATATGCTTTTTACTGTGAATGGCATAAAGTTAGGAGGGACAGCCAATCTACTGGATGATAAAAGATCCAAAAACATCTAAAGAGGTTAGAGCCAAATCTAGTTAGAAGCACTTTAATAGGGATACTTGTAAAGTTTTATACTTGGATTAAAAGAAACACAGGCAGTAGAGAAGATTAGGGCTGAATTGAACTATTGAATTGAACTGAACTATTGTCTGAGTGAAAAAGACCTAGGGATGAATTAAATTGTCATATAGCAACCAAGAAAGCTGATGTGATTTTGTGTTGTATTAATATGACTGGTAATATAGTGAAAGTGAGGGATGAATGATTGACTCGTTGACAGAGAGGCAAGTTGAGGGCCACACCCAAGAAATATTAGAGACCTAGATGAAGGCCTTGTGCACATGATAGTTTAATTTCTTCTTTCAGAAATTCATGATCACTTCCTTCAAAATATCCCATTGATGAAGTTCCCTTCATTATTTCATTTATAAGAGGAATGGGAAAAGGGAGCTGTGAATGATATAATTGTCAATCATGTACATCTAGTAATTACCTGCTGCTCTAATTTAGGCAGACAGATCTCCCAACAGATGTCTGAGTTACTAAAGTTGTCCATCACCACCATATCATGCTCTCCATTGTCTATCATATCATAACCAGAACTTGTGAACTGGTTTGTTATCCAGTAGAATGTAAACTCCTTGAGGACAGGAACTGCTTTTCATTTTTTTTGGTCCCAGTGTAATGTTGCATATAGTAGGCAGGATTAGTTCCTAAACTCATCTATTTTCTCTTTCTGTCCAGATGGTTTGTAAATACTCTGACAGAATCCCTTCTGTTTGGGATCCTGTGATTTTCATTTACTTTGGTTCTTGGGTTTCTTCATATGGATATATCTTCTCAAGATAAAAAGCTACTGCACTCATCTCCCCTTTTACCTATTCTTTTCTACTCTTCCAGAGCTATACTTGAGTCATTCATCTCATCCTACCAAGTGTCAGTGATACATGTCAGATTAAATTTGCCTCCTTGCATAGAAAAGCTATTACAAGGGGAATAAGGAGGAGAGATATCTAAAAAAAACCAATGTGGATTCACAAGGAACTCGCTGACCAACAAAAAATTTACAAAAAAATGAAAGCAAGTGTAAGCTAACTGAAGATGAATATAAAGATGCAGTACGATCATGTAAAGAGGTCAGCATGGTGTGGTGGAAAGTGTGCTAGATTTAGAGTTGAAGGACCTGGATCCAGACTGGTGGATAGAGACTTGAGACAGAGAGAACAATCAGATAGCTATTACAACACCAGCTGAGAAATGGTGAGTGCCTGAAGTTGGGAGATGGCCATGTAAATGGTGAAGACAATATGGATGCAAGATGTTTTGAAGGTAGAAACAGGATTTGGCAAATGATTAGATATGTGGGGTGAGAATGAGGAATAGAACATGATATTGAGATGATGCCAAAGACAACAGTCTGGCTGACTGGGAGGATGGTGATCACCTTGATAGAAATGGGGAACATTGGGAGATGGATGAGTTTGGGGGAAAAGAGAATGTAATAGAGTTGGTGACACATATTGCAGCCCATCCATGCCTGAATATCCTGAATGATTCACTCTGTCCTACCTCAAGTGAAAATAAGTGAGGTGAGCCTCTGACTCACCAGTCATTGCCTGGGAGCCAGAGCCTACTCATTCTCCAAGATTTACCTGCCACAGCCCCAAGGTAACCTGGGGGATAGAAGTAGGGGAATTTTTTCAATTTCACCAGTATGGCTGCTGCTGTGAGGGTCCAGGTAGTGGTTAGGTCTCTTTCCTCTCCAGAATTGCCCTGGGAGAGCCAATTCCTAGTACAGAATGAGGAAAATTAGGAAATCAAACCATGGGAAAAGGAGGTGGAGGAGAAGAGTGTGAGAGGCTTAGAGTAAGTATGTTTGTGTTGAAGATAAGCCCCTGCTTAGCCTAGCCCCCTAGAAGGCAGGCCGTAGACCTACTTTAGAGACCACTGAGGATTTGTCCAGGGCCTCACAGTCAGTATATGTCAGAAGTGGGACTTGGAATCAGGTTTTTTTTTTTGTTTTGTTTTGTTTTGGCTCTGAGACCAGCTTACTACCCACTAAAATGCTATGTTGCTGCTCAATCTAGAAAAGAAAAAAACAAAGAAAACCAAATAATAGGAATTTGATATCAAGTTAAGCAGGATGATCATAAGAGAGTAATTAGCTTCCCTAGATGAGCTCAAGTCACCAGGTTCTGGTGAACAACACGCTAGTGCTGAAAGAAGTGACCAGCATGGCTTCAGAACCACTGTCAGCATTGTGGGAAAAATCATGAAGGATGGGAGCGGTACGTCAGAATTAGAAAAAGACCAATGCTGAAAATTATAGGTTACTGACCTTGACTTCAATTCCTTGCAACATTAAAGAATGTACTATGAAAAGAATGGTTTTAGTTAGTGTCTAGTGAAGAGTTAGTATGGCTTCATCAAGAAGAAGACGGCTTGCCATGTCTTGGGGAGGGGGGAGCAGAAGGAGGGGGAGAAAATTTAGAACTCAAAATCTTGTAGAAGTGAATATTGAAAACTAAAAACAAATAAATAATTTTTTAAAAAGAGGGCTTGCCAGACTAACCTTTTTTTTTGACAGTTATTAGACTCAAAGTGAATGATCTCAGTATTATTTACCTAGGCTCAAGCAAAGCATGTGATAAAGTCTCTCAAGCAATTTCACATTTGATCATCACAGATAAGATAATGAGAGTAAATTAGAGGATGACACAGTTAGGTAGATGAAATTAGTTGAATAGCTGGTCTCAGAGACTGGTCTGATATCAGCTTGGAAGGAAGTCTCTAGTGGAGTGCCTCTAAGCTCAGCCCTTGCTCTGTTTAATATTTTTTATCTGTGACTTAAAACTGAAGATGTCACACTCACCTTGGGTGGGTTCGGGGACTACAAACAATTGAGAGGTATCTCAAACGGACGACAGAGTCAGGATAGAACATAAGGCCAAATCTAATAAAGTGAATTTTAAAAGAGATAAACGTAGAGTTCTGTACTTGGGTTCTAGCAATAAATATCACAAGATAGGAGAGAAATGACTAAACAAAAGTTCTGCTGCAAATGATCCATGGCTTTTAGTAGACTGCAAACTCATATGTGTCATTAGTGTATTATGGCGGAAAAAAATGAGTAATTATAACGTTTGTCATTTTTCAGTCCTGCCTTCTGGAAATCTGGGACAAACTGTACTTTCCATCAGCTCTTTTCTGATAAGAGGCTATATCGTTGTTCAGTCATTTTCAGTTGTGTCTGACTCTTCATGACCCCATTTGGGGTTTTCTTGGCAGAGATGCTACAGTGGTTTGCCATTTCCTTCTCCAGCACATTTTATAGGTGAAAACACTGAGGAGAACAGGATTAAGTGACTTGCTCAGCTAGTCTGGATTTGAACTTATGAAAATGAGTCTTCCTGACTCCAGGCCTGGCAGTCTATGTACTGCCCCACACAACTGCCCTCAAGGGGCTACATGATTGACATTATATTATAGTAGATAGTTTGTTAAGGTTCGTAAATAGTATATAGTTTGTTTTCGTTACATAGAAAATTATATTTGGACTTTGCCATTGCCTGTGAGTTATATACTACTGGTATTGTTCTCCATTTTAATTTTGCCTCATCTGTAAATTAAAAGGTTGAACTAAAGTTTCTCTAAATCCCTTCCAATTCTAAGCCTAATGACCTTCTGAATGAAAACCTCTTTTACTGTTCAAGCTACTTACTTCCTACAAAGTCATTCCAGAAATCCTATGACTCTGTCAAATCTGATCTTTTACTCACAAAGCTTGCCATGGGATTTTGTTGTTATTAGCTTATTTTAGGTATTTTGGATGTGCAGGACATAAGATCATAGATTCAGAGTTTGAAGAAACTTTAGAGATGATAAGATC